TTGATCTGTGAGTTAGCCGTGCCCTGACTTAGATCAGCCCAGAGGTTGTTTCAGGGTTTGATCTGTGAGTTAGCCGTGCCCTGACTTAGATCAGCCCAGAGGTTGTTTGAGGGTTTGATTTGTGAGTTAGCCATGCCCTGACTTAGATCAGCCCAGAGGTTGTTTCAGGGTTTGATCTGTGAGTTAGGCACCAGTGACCTGTCTTAGATTAGGCCAGAGGTTGTTTGAGGATTTGATTTGTGAGTTAGCCATGCCCTGACTTAGATCAGCCGAGAGGTTGTTTGAGGGTTTGATTTGTGAGTTAGCCATGCCCTGACTTAGATCAGCCCAGAGGTTGTTTGAGGGCTTGATTTGTGAGTTAGCCATGCCCTGACTTAGATCAGCNTTGATTTGTGAGTTAGCCATGCCCTGACTTAGATCAGCCCAGAGGTTGTTTGAGGGCTTGATTTGTGAGTTAGCCATGCCCTGACTTAGATCAGCCCAGAGGTTGTTTCAGGGATTGATTTGTGAGTTAGCCGTGCCTTGACTTAGATCAGCTCAAAGGTCGCAGGGTTCAATAGATTTTTTTTTTTTTGGTAACTAAGATACATTATCGTTTGTTATTTGACAGGTGGGTGGTTCCAGCGGTACTGTATAGCAACAGAGCTCAGGCGTTTTTAAAAGTTAAAGAATGGGGGCCGGCTTATGTGGACTGCAAATATGCTATCGCGAGATCTATGGAAGGTACGTACTTATTTTTCGGATATATTTCGGCGGTTGCTTTGTATAGCCATAATAGGGCCCAACTAAAATATTATTAAGGAATACGAACAAAGTCGATACTAAAAAAAAGGTTTGAAGTTTGTCAATTTATGGAAGTCTATGTTATTCAGAGAACGACGAGGCATCCAAGATTTTAACCAAGACGACTTATCGTCGAGCTCGAGCTTCGTTAGAGCTTGGAAATTACCATGAAGCTCTTAACGACATAGCTTTCTGCATGCGTAAGAAATACAAAGATGACAACGTAAGATCGTTATACCAAGAGGTGAGTCTCGAGACTTAATATGTTAGTCGTCAAAAATGGGCTCCCTGTGTATAGGAGTACAGTAATGTACAACTTTATTTCATTGAGGCGTTGCACCGCCATGTGATTGCAGCCATGATATAAGGCACGACAATAGAGTCTTCCCCTTAGAAACTGAATTCTTTCTCATGTAAATCAGATTAGACCAGATTCAATGAGCCAGTTCATAGTTTTAAAGAATCGTTTGCAGTACGCATGCGATTTTATCCCGAGCTTCTCACCTTCTTTTGTTTAAACCTTCGTTTATCGTTAATTAAACAAAAGAAGGTGAGAAACATTCATTCAAAACAAGCATTCACTTCCTTTGTGAAAACTAATGATTTGCAACTTGCTTTTGGCAGATTTTAGTAAAATATCGTGAACATGTTGGTATAGAGCCTATCCGTCGTTGTGCCGTTTGTATGGAAGGAGAAGGAGAGAAGCTGAAGAGATGTGCCAACTGCAATGAAGTGTACTGCTCAAGGTCCTGCCAGCTGTATGCATGGGATACAGGACACAAGACGTTCTGTAATGGAAAGGCTTAGAGATGGACTAACCCGGTATGACTATTTATTCCCAGTTACATGGTAGGTAATGGAGTCTGGGAATGAGACAACGTAGTGGGGAGATTAAGATGTGTATGCATGGGACACAGGACACAAGACGTTCTGTAATGGAAAGGTTTAGAGATGGACTAACCTAGTATGACTATTTATTCCCTGTTACATGGTAGGTAGTGGAGTCTGAGAATGAGACAACGTAGTGGGGAGATTAAGATGTTTATGCCTGGGATACAGGACACAAGACGTTCTGTAATGGAAAGGTTTAGAGACGGACTAACCTAGTATGACTATTTATTCCCTGTTACATGGTAGGTAGTGGAGTCTGGGAATGAGACAATGTAGTGGGGAGATTAAGATGTTTATCAGCGCACATCTTTTATCAAAGAGCCTTAATCCACTGTTTTCCCAATTTAGACCACATGTCATTCCCTAGAGTATCATTTCTTTGTTTAATGGTTGTGCATGAGAAGACACATGAATATGGATACGACTCAAACAAGGAATAGTAATCTCAAGGGAATGAAAAGTGGTCTGGAATTCGAAAACATAACACCCAAGTGGAATGGGTCCATTAGCCTTACATTCAGTGTTAATAGTTATGGTCACTCATTTACTCAGTTAGTAAACTTTTAATATTTTACATCTTTTAGAACAGCATGTCATGTTCAGTTAGGCCCTGGCTAAACGAGGAAACATGTTTCCTAAGGTGGCAAAACTGCCATCGGGAAATAATGTTTCCATGCATCTTGGAAACATGAAATGGTTCTGCCGCACAGCAAAAACATTTTTTGCGTCTTGGAAGCAAAATTTGTTGCACGCAGTAATGTTTCGCATGTGGCTAAACTGGTAAACATCGAGGAAACATGCGCGCGGTAAACATATTTCTGGAAACATGTTTCCTCGTTTAGCCAAGGCCTTAGAGTTTTAGCTGGTTACAGCTGAATTCCATGGCAGCCATATTGTAGAACAAGCCAAGAGAAATTTTGTTTTGGGAAATAAAAGATCGTAATATTAATGCATCGCATCTCACCAATGCGACCCGGATTTTTCTCCAGGTTCTCTGGTTTTTCCTCCCTCCACAAAAATCAACTTCTAAATTCCATTCAATCAGGAATCGAGGGCCAGATAGGAAACAAGCCTCTGTGATTTTTCTGTTACACCCTCGTGAAACAAGGTGTATTTTTTTCTGTTTTCCAACATGGTTGCCATGGTTATTCCCTCAACGAGACTGCCCAGTGACTCTATTCTTTGACAGGCATTTTAAATATCATAAAAGTTAATATAAAAAATTACAAGCAAGCTTTTTTATTTGACCACCATGTTAACAAAATCGTAGTATTTACACCTTCTAGTGGGACTGTCTGTCTGTCTGTCTAGGTTCTATACGTCTTCTAATTCCAAGGTCATATCACTTCGAAGACCCTAGCATCATAATGAAACAAAAATTCAATTAACTTTTTGTTGTAAAACAATGAACAGTGATTATGAAGACTGTGACGATAGTGAAAGTGGTGTTGACAGTTTGAAGATGGTGATAGAAGTGTTAATGTTGTTGGCAATGGCGTATTGATGCAGAAGGCTGGCTCTTTAAATATAAAGCTGTCTTCTCAATTTTACTGAATTTGCGTTTTTCAGTTTTGTGGCCCGTCAAGTTGGATGCGCACGGAACCTTGAAAAAACGGTCTATACAATTAACCATTTTCCATACAACGGCTCACTGGTCAAACACAAAGCATTCAGTTGAGGTTGCAAGGTTCAAATTTGAATAATTCTTTGAAAGTACCGATGTATGGAAAATGGTAAATGGATTCTAATTCTTATGAGAGAAAATTCCTATTGTTTTGTTCATCAAATCGAGCTGTATTGGGAATATGCTGTTTTATTAAGGAGCATAGCAGTATCTTGTATACAGCTATTTCAAAAAAGGTTGAATACTGCATGATGAATAGATTCCAAAATCCAAGGGCATTGTGGGTCTTGTAATTTGAAATAAAAAGTAAATATACAGCAATTAACTCTACATGTAATTAGTATATTGTTTGAGATGCAATGCACTAAAAATAGAATAAATAATTACTATTAATCCTAATGACCCACAATGCACTTCGGTCTTGGAATGCACTATTCAGTATGCAGTATTCATAAAATGGCTAGATGTCACTTACCCGACTAGATTCAAGGGCTTGTAGTTTTAATGCAGTACTGTTTAGTTCTCTATCTGCAGACAGCAGTTCCTGTATAACATAGATAAACAAGTTTGAAATAACTGCAATCATTTTTGCATTTAATAGTAAGAGTAATAATAATTTCTCTAGAACTTTATTGTATTTCTGTCGCTAAGTATATAGGATTTACAGTGCAGACACACTGGGACCACTTGTAGAACGAGATTTAAGATTTAAGAAATTAGTCAGTCAGGAGAGAGCAAAATCAGTATTACATAGATCTTTTTCGAGTTCCAAATTACCGCCGTGTTCCTTAATTACAGTCTCATTTACCAACGGTAAAGACACTGAAATACCACGGACCTTCCCTGAATTCCACTGCAACACTTGAATATACTGCAGGAAAATAGGGCTAACACTGAGCAACAGAGAACTTGGAACCGGAGTATTGAATCGCAATATCTCATTCCCATGGTTGATAACATCTAAGATTTTTTTGATGTATAGGCTTCGTTTTGCTCCTGACTAATCAAAGTATGATAGACTATTAGACTTAAGTTTGATAGCTTCTTCAAGTGGTCCCGGTTAGTACTAGTGTACTTATGACTTATGACTTAGTACTTATGAACAATAAGATAAAAGACTGTATAAAATAAAACGTTTGAATTATGTGTTATTCACGACAGCCTTGTTGTAGGGAAAGAGCAATGCAAACATTTTACATGGCAAGAGAGTTCTCTTTTCTTCTGGGATAGCATTCCTATTGTGTTACACTTCAACATGGCTTCCGTGAAATAGTCCCCTTTACAGTTCCCTGCGACATCTTGAAAGCTAGCCGTGTCTTTTCATCGAAGCGAGACGAACGGTGAGCTTGCAATGATAGAGACCTTTTTTAACACCTTGGACAATTATTCACGTCTCTATCATTGCAAGCTCACCGTTCGTCTCGCTTCCATGCATCCATGTGTTTTACCTTTCAAGATGGCGCAGGGAACTGTAAAGGGGACAATAGACCTCTTCGGCTCTGACGTAATGTTTTCCCATTTCAGACCACATGTCATTCCCTAGAGTATCATTTCTTTGTTTAAGGTTTGCGCTCGGTTGCACATGAGAAGACACATGAATATGAATACAGCTCAAACAAAGAATCTTATTCTCAAGGGAATGACACGTGGTCTGAAATGGGAAAACATTACCCCAAGCCGAAGAGGTCTATTCCTATATAAGTTTATATAAATTGTAGCAAGATTTTCTATAGTCAATAAAACTGAACTAAAAAAGATCGTGTTATTTTACTTACCTTCTTGAGGGATTCTATTTCGTAATTTTTTCGTTTTAATTTTTCTGAAGATTTCTTTTTCTTCTTTTCGTCCTACAAGACAAATAGGTTATCAGCGCAGAAGAACACATAAAACCAAAAGATAGCAAAACCAACCAACTGAATGAACAAAGTCTTTGTTTTTCTGCGATTTCCAAAACTTCAAGGCGTGAAGCAACTATTCTTAAGCCCCGTTTACGCTGGCGATTTTTGCGGCGATTTTTGTTGTTGCGATTTTGTCCATAATAAATAATGGTAAAGAATTTACTTGTAAAGTTTTATTCGGGAAACCAAGATTTTCCTAGACGAATGTTTCTTTTGAAGGATAAGACAAAAGATTTCATATTTCCGAAAATTGCCACAAAAATCGCAGCAAAAATCGCCGCACAAATCGCCAGTGTAAACGGGGCTTTAGGGTTCAATCACATGACTCTAAAATCCTCGAGATGTTAATAACGATGAAACAGTCGATCTAACAAGAGAAGCTATAAATGAAGAAATAGTTTGTTATCGTCCAACAGCATGGCTACACCGCTACACCCCCTCGATTACTTCCAATAACGAGTACCTGATATTTAGTGAATTCATCTTGGTAACATGAATGTGATGTAGTATAGTGATCTCTGTCCTCGTAATCCATAGCAAATTTCTACAAGATACAAAGCGAATTATTCCCATAAAAACGAAATCAAACAAACCAAGTTTTTAGAAATACAGTATAGTCTAGCGTCATCCGATAGGACTTTTCTAAGGGCGATAAACTTGAATGATACATTCTGGTCTAGTTTCGGTGCAGACACCATATATAGCCTGCGTCCCTCCCTCCCCCAGAGCCCGGTTGTACGAAGCCCTGGGTAGCGCTATCCAACGGATAAATCTTATCCAGTAGATAAACTTATTGGATAACAGCATCGACTTATCCACTGGATAAGAATTTATCCGCCGGATAGCGCTATCCAGGCTTCGTACAACCAGGACAGGTGCCTATGGGCAGACAGCTTGGCTACGCAGGCTACACCATGTAAGACATAATGAACAAAAAGGATTTGTACCCAAGCTAGTCCTTAATACGATTAACCTGTTCACTAACTGTCCTATTTCCTCCCCTATACCCGAACAAGGCGTTCGTCTCGTTCCGACATGGTTACTAAAAGTACTAAAGAGAAGGGGAGTGGGGCAATGAATGGTTTGAAGGCCCAGGGTAAGATTAGCTATTCGCTAAATCTGGTGTATTTTATAAATACTTTTTAAACCTTCTTAAATAAATAAATAAAGTTATTATCTTGCTTATGTGCAAGCCAGTAGACATGCAGTGGAAGAAGAGCCACTCTGTGGAATCCACTGTTAATCCCATTATTTATTTATTATTTATTTATTATGTTAACCTTGCGTTCTTGTAGACATTTATTTAGTCTTCGTTGTTGATCGAGTTCGTCTCGCATTCGGGACAGCGACTCGCGAAGGTAGGCAATCTCTTCTTGTCGACCGCGCACATCGATCTGTCAAGAATGAGTATAAAATTAACACTGATGAACAATCACACAAGGTATCGACTTGGATAGGTTGGTGTACCAGACGCAACTCTCAATCTCCTACTCAGAGCCTGCGTTTCTTCTGGTCTGCGGCGTAGAACAAGGGCTCTGGGCATAATCCATTTTTTGGCGCATGCGCAATTTTTCGGAAGTGAAATATAATCAATGACAATTATGAATTAAAATAGATTTCTGTGTTTACTTCAGATCAAAATAAAAATTTGAAATCGGAAACATATATATATATATATTTATATTTTTTTTTTTTTGGCAATTGAATGCTTGCGCTTTTATACCGGAAGTCCAAGAAATCCTGGTCTCAAAAAGGCCAGAAGAAACGCAGGCTCTGGATACGAGATTGACGCAACTCCATGTTCTCACTATAAAAAGAAGCGCCGCRAGAGAACAAAATATTTTTGGGGGATGTGGGGTGGGATAGCTTGCACTTGTGCTTATGTTTGCGACGGCTTGCGTCTCTAGTGAGAAGCAGGTTTGACAGAAACGTTAATAAATACATGACAGCATCGACAGCCGGCTATAATCATAGTTTGCAGTTTTTGTACAAAAGTTTGATAAAGAGATTTCATTACCTTTAAACCTTTAGCTTCGGCTGCTTTTTGACCAGCAATTGACTGAGTTTGTCTGTAAAATACAACAGAACAAATAGGTTTCTCTTATTACTTTTTTACCCGTAGGAAGGAGGTAGGGGGTTTTTACTTTGCTTGTAGCAAGCAAACGAGCTACTTTCTTTTCTAGCCAGGAGACAGATTACTCTACTATAGTCTACAACTGGACCCAACAGCAAGCGCGCACGAAATACAAGTAAGACTGATAACAATTCGTACCAGTCTTTTCCCGCTACTCGGTTCATCTTCGCCACGCGCGCGTCGATAAAAGTGGGTCCAGCTTTGGACTGGACCGTTACACAAAAACCTGTGTTGCTCACGGAGGGGTAATGCAACGAACATTCGCTTTGCGACTTGAAACGCAATAGTGTTGAGCAACAAGTTGTTGCCCGATGATTAGAACGATTCTAATACCTGAGGCTAAGCAGATCATCTTCATATCCTCCCAACAGCTTCTCTTTTCTGTCTAGTCTCTCGTGTAATCGATTTATTCTTGATATAAGAAGCTCAAGTGCCTGCGTAAAAACACAAAGAAATTCCTAATGAGTCTTGAAATAACCAGATGTACCACAGGAACCCCAACCTCTCAGTTGGTCTGTCTGGTACAGCAGATGCGCACTGATTTATAAATGTTGAACTTGTTTAGTCTAAACCAAATTTTAAGCAATCATAAAAACAGCTGCAACTGTATACAACTAATTCATTGTGGCATAACATCAAGTGTAGATCTAGGAGAGGGGAGGGGAGGGGGTAGAGAATTGGAAAATAGGGGGGGGGGCAAACCCCCCCCCCCTTCTTCTATGGATTTCCTTAGAAATGTCATGTGGAAACTACATCTCTGAAAATACAAGGCTGACATTTATTGGGATGGACCCCTCCCACCCTACTCGAAATCCTATCCTC